GACTGTGAGTGTACCAGCCACACAGGAAACCAATGTCTTCCTTGTCACACAGCCAACAGGAAGCTGCTGGGGCTGACTAAAACTCTGGCCTCTCAATCATGCACAACCTTTTTTTTCTTTCCCTCTCTCTCCCCCTGCTTCCCCAGGACCCTTGTTGATACGATGACCACATATATCACATTTTTGCTCTCTGATAAATCACCACCCTTGGAGGCCACGCTAAATCAAATTTGAGTTCAAGGTTTTTGCATTATCAAACACATCTCATGAGAGAATATAAAACTGATCAATCCACTCATACATTCCTATATATCTGTAATTTCTCTTTCAACAGAAAATGAGATGTGTTTATCTCTTTAAAAAACTTTTACATTCAAGTGAAGATTGTATATGTATATACTGGACAAGTGATGCTTCAAAGTATAAGATCAAACTTTTCACTAGTCCAGCATGTTAATGACTGGATGGGGCGTTATTTTCTAAATGTCAAACTAGAGAACATTCAAGGGCGTGCCAGACCCTGGGTCCTCCTAACTATCCCCCTTCCCCCCTGACTCATACTAACCAGACGAGACTAATAATACATTTAGCTTAGATCCTGTAGACGGCTCATGTATTGCGAACATGACGAAAGCTTCGAGTCTTCAATTAAATTTGTAAGGGACCTTATGACCTATCTTAACCAACATCTAACATTACTCAACATTACTCGGACAAATTCCCCACTGATTTTTGTCTCCAGGAATCCAAGTCAAATAGTATCACTTTGAGTTTGACTACTATACAAATAAACAGACGGAAAGAATGAGAGGAAAACAACATATAAAACAACCACAAAAACTAACACAAATTAATATTTAAAATCCACTGGAAAAATCCAATAAAAGGTCATTTATCTCAAACAGTTCATTAATAATAATAATAATAATAATAATGTATATTTATATTGCGCAATAATCTGCCTAAAAAAAGACGCTCAAGGCGCGTAACCTCCAAACAATCTTTAATTTCCATTCATACAAATGTGTAAAATGTATGTATACATTTATCTTTAAGTTCATGTGAAACACATAGAACCTGATTTTCTTTGGGAATTCCTTCCTACACATGAGCATGGGCACAGTCTATTATCAAAAGAACAAAAAAAAAATTTAACATAAACAAATCAAACAAAAACCAATGGACCTAAGCGTAAGTGTTGCAAAACTCATGTGTTGACTGAAGAAATGGAAAACATTTTATGCCACCCAATTTCAAATGTAAACATGCACAATTATGTATTTTTCTGACAATTTCCTTAATATGCAATTCAAGTGCACGCAAGTTTTTTTCCCCTCCAAATCTGTCATCATCCTTAGCAACAACTGTTAAGTAAAAGTGATGACTTGATCAATATCTGACTAAAGTATGCAGTCAGTTTGAAGAATGACATGTAATAATACAAACCTGTCTAATTATTCTCACCTGACTGCAGGACACCCACTCACCAGACAATAAATGTCATTGTATGGCACCTGTCCAATTAAAGTGAGCATGTGAAGAAATGCATGAACAATGCAGCCAAGACTCTGAGAGCCATGCAACAAACAACTGCCTCCACAAATCCACAATATTTGCTACAGACAAAAACAAACTTCAACTCAAGGGATACAATTATTAACAATAATTGGCCATTCTTCCAACCCCACCCAGCACGTTTCCATTGTCTATAGTTTAGTTACCATTACTGCTCTATACTAATGTTTGAGAATGAAAATGTGTTTATTTGAATTGAAAGTGTGTCATTAAAATATAATGTAAGAAATCTGTTTTACCAATGTACCCCAACACTCTGCATTATAACAGTGTCTAGTATTTATGGAAATGATTGGTGGGTAAGCTTATTATAAAAGCCTGACAGACTGGTGTCCATATTTTTAATTGTTCAATAGCCCAGTGTTTTATCATAGGTTGGAGCATTTGAGTGTGCGCCATCTAGCTACCTAGATCGATCACGTGCTACATGCGCATGCCCAAAGGTCTGCCTCGGGCATCATACTAAAATTATAATACTGTACATTTGTACATGTGACCAACTTTGCATGATCTTGACGTTTCAAGTGCACTTTGATGGTTTCATCTCGCCATGACACCAGACAAACGTTTCCTTTGCAGCAGAAAAAAAGAAAAAAACTTGTTCCACTTGTTCCACTTTTTTTCCAGCCGCAATAATAGTCTGTTAACACGAGTTGTCAAGTAGAGAACCCAGGTGCCCACATTTCAGTAGAGGAATCAAGCGTCTCCGAAAACAGGACCATCCAACGGCCCGGGATTTTCGGCGGGAAAAGGTGCTTGAATCAACAGGTTGATGAATAGACAAATCCGGCGACCATGATAATTACACATTTCCGAGGTGGCACGCTGGCTTGCGCTTTTCGCGCGTGTTTTAACTTGATGCGCGCGTAGATTTTGTAATCAATTAAAAACTTAGCATCAGTTAGGATGTAGGCCTACCATCTTCAAAAACGAAACTCAAAATATCATGTAATATCCTACTTGGTTGTAAGTCAATAATATTCTCATGCATCCTGTTATTGTCGGGGAAAAAAAGAGTTCCCGTCATATCTGGCGGTCATGAATTAGGACAAAACCATCGCGTTTTCAACAGAAATATATGGTTTGCTCCGAGAAAAAAAATGAAGATGCATTTTCACAGTTTTCTCAAAAGGTATATCTACTCAGATGAATTTTCTACAGGTTTTTTTCCTAATAACCGGCTTCATATTTATTGTATTGGTGTTCCTTGAATCGATTTGTTTTTCGTTGGTGCCAATTACCTTTAATGTGCCACATTTGCAATTACCCGGAACGTTCCAACTGAATTAAGGAGAAACTCCTTGCTCAAAGTGAAGATAGGACTGGAACCAAATACCAGTAAAATTGTTCTGACTAAATTGGTATCATTCGGAATAAAACAATTATTGAAGGTGGTTTAAGTGTTCCGCGAGCACAGCTTTGTACGTGGGTTAGCAACGGAATACGAGACCCCAACACTGTGCATACGTTTTCTCAAAATGTATAGTATCCACTGAGCTGAATCTTCAAAAAGTTGCATGGTTGTAACGCACCCTTCTTAATATTTTGGGCAATTTTGTTGCTTCCAACGGAAAAAAACGCACAAAAAGCTAATGATTCTATAAACCTCTATAAATTATGGACGATCTTTACAAAGAATGATTGAGATCAACTTACCGGTATACGTAAAAAGGCGAAACGGTAACTTCGACAGGTCTTGTCAGAGGGTTGTTTGTTGAAGATAATAAATACGTCCGAGAAACGGTTATTTAGCGCATGTTATATATAATAACTAGATTTAGGAAATAACAGGAGGGGAAACCAATGAAACATAACACCAGACAAAATGCATTAATACTGAAAGCCCTCTCTTGTTTTTATTTTTATTTTATATTTCCCTTGTTTCAAACAAACCGCACTAATAAATTGCCACCTTCTACATTATATCCCACTCGTCTCCATTTGAGGCAGAGGGCTGCCCATAAAATGTGTAGTTTGTTGACATTTGACAACGGATAGAGAATGGTGGATTTTAACCGGAAAAAAAAACATATTTAGAAACTGTGTGCTGGGTGATAAATAAGAAGGGTTGCTAACATTGAAGTTAGCGAGGTGCTTGATCGGAGCATTTCAAGTCATTGCATTTCAAGTCCCTTTCCTAGATCCTGGCTTTAGGTGGAAAAGAAGATGCCTGTACATGTATTATTTTTGGACTATAAATTAAGAAAAAATTGTTTGACCACTTTGATTTTCATGAAATTTGTTCTGAATGCTAAGGAAATATTGGAAAGTTTTACATTAAAAAATAGCAAAATTGTGGATTACATTTTTAGAGCGACGGTATCACATCCTTTGGATTAAGTTCGCTATGTTCATCTGCTTGACCTTTATTCCGACCTCATTGTTCACGAGTTATACCTCGAGGTAACTCATGCAATCTGCGTGATACCGCAAATACGTCATTGATAGGAACAGCTCACCATTTTGACGTTCAAGCGTCATTTTAAAGTCAGTACCGTAAGCGAGAAATGAAGCAGTTTTAAGAAAAGTTTTCATCTTCTTGAACAAAATACACGTACCCTTATTACGAAAGAATGATCAAACACCAACCGCATCGCTGGTAAAGTTTGGCAGAAAAAAATCGCGAAAATGCAAGATCAAGATCAGTTTCCTTGAAGTATGATTTATGGTTCTTTTTAATTGGAGCAAACAGATATTTCAGTTCACTGTAAAACTAACAGCTGATTAAGTTGACAATACAGCGGAAAACACGCGAGTCTGTCAACAAGGCGTGACGTGTACCAACGGGATCATGACTCATCAACAACACAGGGCCTATCGTCTCTGATCTGACGTCACAGGGGCCTACCAACTACATATAATCTATTCTATTGTGATCTATTCCGAATGAACTCAGACATGTGCTGCCAGGGCGGGCGGAGGCGTCACTTCCGTCGACTTGTCAACAACTCGTGGAAGTCCTGGCCTGCTCGCACGCCATTATCTCTGCCTAGGATATTTTTGGATCGGACTCACCGTGTACACTTTTGTATGACCTGAAAGGAATCGCTTTCAGTTCCAATCATGTGTTACTGTATATTCATGGCAAACCAAACCAAACCAATCAGGCAAGTCAAATACCCCGAATTGCACTTTTGCATCCCACAATAACAGTGTGTACACAAGTACACTTCATCGAAGCCAATTCTGTCAAATCAGTTACGTGTCTTTTTCCCCCTATCTGACCACGCATATCATTTATTGTGACAAACGATTAGTTTGGATATCGGTCAGCAAGCCCCTTTGGTGTATGTCGCTCCACAGCTGTTTTTTTCCTAAAGTAAAATAAGCTAGTCTTCTTTTTCTTCTGACCCGTACCTACCATCGGGGTTCGCTTTGTAGGCTACGCATAAAGAAAAATCCTTCCCCGAAAACAACTTATGAGCTACGCCTTCACTCACGGTCAATTTATTATGCATCAAGACACCTACGCGAACACTAAAAAAGCGGAAATAACGAGACGGTTTTTCTCACAGAACACACCAATTCCTGATTGACTATATTTATGCTATATATACATTTGTACTTCAAATGAAAATGCATAACACATTTTGACCAGGGCGTAATACACAAAGCAACATACATTGTAATTTCAACCGCAGAGGAGTCAAATATGTGCTTAGCGGATTATTGAATATTAATTCCATGAATTTAAATGTTATACTTTTGATGGCTATATATTTTGCTATAACTGGAATTTGAAAGCAAAGTGAAAGCATTTGTTCTGACTTTGGTTTGGTATTCTGAGATATACTCACAGTTCAAATATGCAATTAACTGGTCTGCTGTAACCTTTATGTTCGAAAAACGCGGCAGAATTTCTTCATAACACAGCTTCAGTACAAGATATACAGCTTACTGTAACTATCAAACAATATTTTGATTTGTCATGAAAAGTCTTGACAGGTGTAATATTACAAATGCAACATGTTTACAGAAACTATCAGGATAAACGATGCCAATTAAAGGATTCGGTGGCTCTCTCACAATCGATTATGCGGACTCGCATCTGTAATAACTTGCGGATCATTGATGTATTGATAACCCCATGTCAATTCGGACTGATTATGCATGTTGATGGTACCACTATGCGAATTCACGTGAACTATAACTAGTGTCACTCATCCATGTTGATAATCAATTAAGTACAGCAATGACACACTTTACAATTACAATTCAGGTAAACAGTTAGTTTTTTTTAACAACTCACTTCCATTATCCATGAATGTTATTCTACTTGAATATGAAATGAAATCAAATTACGTGGGGCAAAAGGTTGCTGGTTTTAAATCTCGAGTCTACTCTATCAGCACTTGATAATGAACATGTATAAAACACGGAATAATGACGCAAGTAACTCCATAAAATAAGGAAAACTTGTGTTTCACTTTCATTGTACATGCACCCCTAAAAGTAGTGACGGAAACCATTGGTGAACAGGGGTTTGAATGGTATTTAGGGATCATTCGACGATGTTCATTATTGATGCTACGAGTAGTAACGTAACGCAACAACTACTTTACAAAAATACATCTTAACTGAACATAAAACAGCTCGTTTCACTTGTCAGCGTTGACTATACATTGATAAACCACATTTTTTTTTACATAACCAAAATATATCACCCAGCTGAATGTTATTTGTCTGGCAACCGTGGCTATATTTTAGTCCTGCTGCTAGTTTTGCCGAATAACCCACAGTATTTCAACTCTCATCTCTTCATAGAATACACTTTCTTCTTTTTATTTTACAGATAAAATACAGGTGGCGTAAATAATTTGTCGTCAGGTGATGACTTTAGCAGTGACATTTATGTGTCTCGTTCTTTCTTCACCTTAACCTCATCTCCTAGTATGGTAGCGATCTCTCCTTGCATGAAGGCCCAAGGAGTGTTGGTTCCCACCAGCGGGCATTTCTGGCCGCTTGGACAGTACACCTCAGCGCCAGCCCCCTGCTTCTTGATACTGTCTCTGGAACACGGAAAGCAGAACTTATGGTTCCCGACCGAGGGACACTGAACGAAGTGCGTGTCTTCCAAGCGCTCATGACAGATGGTGCACTTGAGAATGTTGTTGACGAGGTTTGGAATGGAGGAGTCCGGGAGGTGACTCGTGTTGGAGCTGATGCTGGTCTCCATGGGATGCCCCTGGGCCTGGGCGAGCTCTCGGCTACGGTATAGTGCGCGCCGATGGGCAGTGGTCGGGGAGTGGGGGCTCCGCTGCGTCTTGCCGTCCGAAGAGGCTCCATTGGTGGTGTTATTCACCAGATTCGGCGTCGCATCGTCACCCTTCCTTGGCGAGGAGGACCTGAGGGTGCCTAGATTGTCGGTGACAGACATAAGTGCGGCCATGGGTGACGGACCTCCTTGGGTCGAACTTCCTGTCTCCGGCGGCGTGCTGGATGTGGGATTACTCAAAGGAGACCCACCGGAGCTGGGTGGCCTGGAGCCTCCCGCACTGAACCCCGTCGAGGCCATGGTGTGCTTCAACGCCTCTGTCTGGTTCTGCATCCATTGCTGTCTCTGCTGCTGCACCTGTTCATCAGTCAACTTCCCAGAAGCATTTTCGGGGTCGGGCTCAGGGGACGATTTGCGCTTCTTCGTTTTTTGGGGCAGTGATGCCAACATATGGCTTGTGGTGGTTGGCAGCACAGGGCAACTAGCGTCAATGTACGGCTGAGGCAACATATCCACATTGACATTTTCTTTGAAAAATCTGACAGGTTCAGGCAGTAGATCGCCCAATGCCCGCCAATCGTTAGAACCGTGTTTCTTTTCGTATTCCAGATATTTGAATCCAGAGGAAAGTCCCTTGCCCAAGTCTTTTAGACAATCCGAGTACATCTGCTTGGCCACCCCCGAGGCACTGTGGTAAACCTTGTTCGATCCACTCGGATATTCGATGAAAAGTTTTAGTTCGTAATCCATGCCCGGTTTGTAGGTGGCATCAAAGGAAAACACACGGCCCTTCCGAGTGTGTTCTTTCTTGAATCTTACCTCAAAGGGGGTACAATTCGAAAGAGTTGCCAAAGTCTGACGTACAATTCCCGGTCGCTGTCCATACGGGTCTTCGGAAGTTGGTGTGATTCGGCGCTCTGCACCCTCGATCGGAAATGCCGAGGAGCCTACCTCTTTCTCCTCCCGGTCTCGATCGCTGGAGCTTCGTTTGGCTCTCAGGGAGGCGGTTGAGGAAACGGTGGAGGGCGTTGGACCGGTCGGTGCGACGCTGTGCCGGGGTAACGCCGACATGCTGGAAGTTGGTGTATTCAGATGGTGAAGCAGGCTTGGGGTTTGGTGACTGATGGCACTGTGATGCAACAGTCTCCCTGATTTGTTCTCTCCGGACTCATCCGGAATAAGGTACGGTCCACCAGGGCCGTTACCGAGTCTCTGTACGGTGGAAAAATCGTGGATGCTCCTTGGTCGGCTGTGTTCGTGACCCAGGAAACGCTCTGCGTGGCTGGATAGAGACGCCGGTAAGGTTCTGGGTGAAGGCTCCACATGAGCCGTTTCCAACAGCCCGCTGGGTCGGGGTGGAACGCTGGCTGACTGGGGCGGCATTTGGCCCGGTTTCTGCACCTGAAACGGCTTGTTTTCTTGGAATCCATGTACGCGTTTCATCTGCCTAGCCGATTCGATGACCATTTCAATCCTATCCGCCCCTTCATAGTTGACACAACCTCGGCACACCGGCTCTGAGAAATCGTGCAGCAAAGCCCATGGCGTACGAGGCAGGTCACACAGATAGCAGTGTTGACGGTGCATTCTGAGCTGTACTGATTGCTGTGCGTGTGACGACGATGATGACATGTCTATGGGAAATCACAATGTCCATACAAGCCACAACACAACAGAGTTTGATTCTATAAATGTGTCACTGTGTCGACAACGTCTGTCAGATGAATCTGGTGTAAACGGCTGAAATATTATTATACATGGGAACATAAAATGTGTTCACATGTTTCTTAGTTCAACAGGCACCTTTTCCAAGGCGGGCAGTGCGGGTACTATCTGTATGCCCTAACTGCATGAACTGAGTACATACATGAAGCAAGGTGTACATGTATATAACGGTACACAATGAAGATCTACTCGCGGCCCGGCCAGATGGCAGCGCGGCAAACAAGCCACACGGAAACACTGCACATGCGCAATGCCCTCCCTGTGTGGCGGTATCACATGCCACGCATGGCATTACAGACATAGTGATGACGTAGGCGACAGGAATGTGCAACGATAGACGCGCGGTGCCCCGGGAAAGAAAGAAAAAAGAGCTAAGGCTGAGTCATTAGGAAGAAGAGGAAACACGAAACTTGCAGCTCTCTGCCTGCTATTATTAAATCCGCTCACGCGTGGGCAATTTCACCACGACTGCACCGTCAAGTCGCGGCGGTATGGCCTCGTGCAGGGCCATAAACCCCGCCGACTCGGAGTAATATGTATGCGAGGGTGGGGACAAAAAAAAATCCAACTCATTCAGCGTACACGGGGCTAGGCTGGGTCCCATATTTCGCAGAAGTGAGTCACTCGGCACAAACAAAATTTTTCAGACCCTCCGGTGCGCTGGCTACGGCACGTTTTGAGCGGTAATAAAAACCGGGCACAGCCATCCATCACCCGGGGCCAGCCGGCAGTTTTTGCTTTGATGACGGCAGTCTGGGAATCCGATCCTAGCACATATAACCAACGGCAAGAGCGAAGTCTAAATACAGCTGTGTTGGTGGTTTAGAAAACATTGAAGGCAAGGGACTCGCTGCAAAACAATACAGCGTCAACCACCGGGAAAAGGGGCCGATATACTGTTTACATGCATTAATTTTTTTAAGAACATTTTCATTTTAAAGACGTGGGAACTTTGACACGAAATACAGTTTAATCGGGGAAGGAATATTATTAATCATTGTGAAGAACTTTGATCGAGGAAGTTGAGAACGATTTGATCAAAAATTTGATCAAACTTCAATATCGAATATGTAAAAAAAATTGGTAAATTTCATAGTCGGTACGATGCACGCTTCGTTGATCGTGCTAGCCGAGCATGGTTCTGATACTCATCAAAATTGGACGTTTGTGGTGCTGATGATCGTGATGAACATAATGAACAGTCGGACATGATGAGCTAAATATTCGCCTCTACTACAGCCGCCTACTTTTGACTTCATAAATGACTACGGGTGGCACAAAGATGCGAAATACCAAGACTTAAAATAAAAACCTGGTTTGTGGGGAATTAAGGGTTGTGAGTCATTCGATACAGTTTTAAAGTCAAGAGATGTTAAGTTGTATACTTTTCTTGGAAACATCCGTGGGGGTATTAAAACTGGATGACCTTTCAGGACATGCGAACTTGGGGCGGTCGGCGAACAAAACGAAAGTGGAGAGGTGATCTGACTATCAAGGAAGCAAGACGACACTAAATCAAACTGTGGTTATATTTCACAATACTGCGTGACACATAAACAAAACAATATTGGCTGTCCTATTAATGCAATAAATGTACTTTCGTTTGCTTTAAATGCGGGATTAAATAAAAAAAATAATAATAATTCGGGCATAGCACAAAGATATATGATGGAACCAAAAATTATCCCATCGACGTTTTTGAAGTAACCTCTGATCCCAACGTCACCACGGAAGCAAACTTCAAGGAAAGAGCGTCAGCAACCAAGTTCTTGGTTTTCAAGAAGGAAACCACCACTGAGCAATACGAAATGGTTTCTTCCATACAGTACACGATTGCATGACTGTAACAAAACCACCAATATAAATTCACAGGAATCGTATAATATGACCTCAGACGGTACTAACCACTGCATGGGCCTACGCAGAATTAAAATAACAACTGCTCGGCATACCGAACACGCAATGTCAAAAGTTCAGTGGAACGGAAGAAACGGGGAAACAAAAACAAACCACTGTGACTTTCGAAACCAGACTGTTCCATTATATTATAATTTAATAAAGAGGGGTTTTAATACTTAGGTTATCTACAAGTGTGTATTTCGACATTAAACAATGTCTAAAAGTAAAAAAAAAAAGCTCAAAGTCAAACCCCAATTGATTCCCAAGTTTTAACATAATACGGAAAAAATATCATTGAAGGGGAGTTTAACACCTTGCAGAAAATCAATGGCGGTTATATCATCACTGAGGTATACATGCATAACATACAACGGAGTTTCGTCCACGTCTTCAAAATGCACAACAAAATTAACACGAGCCTATAGTGATAATAACGTGCAAAATGGTATCATCGGGGTTGTTGACCAAGTCCGTCACAGCCAAGGGAATTTCCCCTCTTTTCCCCAAAACCTTGCAAAGAGGACGCCTTTGTTCTTTGATTGAATCGGTTGGCACGACTTTTTTTCCAGATAATATTTGCAATGAATCTCTCAAAGGATTTGAATTTCTGGCGTGGTGGATCGAATGTGTTTGGTGCGGAGATTATATATGAGACTGGCCTTACTATCAAACCATGACCAACAGGACTGATATAAAAAAAAAACCCGCAGAGCAATGAAGAAATCCACCCTTTCCAATGAACAAGTTTCAGTTTCGAAAGAAATCTAAACATTACGGTTAACCACTGCTGGGTCCATCCTCGAGACGGATGTTATTTAATTTCCCTAAGGTGACATGTGTCTGTGGTCGATTTATAATGCGATATCGGTACGAGTCAATCTGAATCCAAGCGGAGGGGAGGAACATTTGCCACTACAACGTTTGAAAACCATGGATCCTGCGCCCCTCCCTGATCATCAGGTGAAGAAACTTAACGTACGTACTGGCGCCCACCCGACGAACAGAAACGGTCCGCCGATGTTGCATGTTTTTTTGGACACATAATTTCTTCAAAACATAGAATCAGTTGTTTGTTCAACCTTATATTGCTCCGGAGATTTTGACAATTTTGATATAAGCAGACGACACACAGTCTCTTTTAGAAAAAAGTAAGAGTACGGTGCAATCATAACGACCTCTGCAAATACGTTCTGCCCAGGAACCAGTATAGTCTTGATTTAAAAGACATGAATCGGTTTCATCTGTCCTTTGGTTATCATGCTACATGTATTTTGAAGGCTATCGACTTCTGTACCAGGCTTTCAAAAGGGGGCATCGACCTCAGCAGCAGCTCAAACTTAATCCAAATGAGTATTAACATCATTTATAACGTATTTCTTTTAATATTTTAACGGCATGTGCGACGGGGAGATCCGGGGTATGGGCCTAAAGGGCTTAGCAAAAGAATGAGACCGACAAGAGAGATTGCCAAGTTAAGGACAAGCTTCATCAAGACATGCGATGCCTAATTACCAATTTCCCCGTTCCTGACTTACTCCCTCCCTGAAGAAAGGGCTTAAGTCTAGTTATCTTTCGATAAGACGTCTTTATGGATGGGAGAGGACTCTATTAGTGACGGGGATTCACGGGATTTGGGAAATTAGGAGACTGGTGCCAGGGTCTGGTGGGTTTTATTGGGTGTGTCGGGCATGCCCCATGACACCCGTCGTTGCTTGTAAAACTCCACCCATCGTAAAACGGAACTGTTCTTTTCAACATGCAAATTTAAGCAACGAAATCTCACAGCTGAAAAAGGACCAACTAGAAACTCTGCATAAAAACTACTTTAAAACAACTCCATGTTTTGCCTGCCCGGAGGGTTTACCGAATTACCGAATCTTTTTAAACGACTTAGGCCTATCAAAAGATGAAAGATGAAAGAAATGACTTATCAAAAGATGTTTATGGTAATATTTACAGAACATGTACTGTCCAATTCACATATACGTGTATGTGACACAGACTGGTTCACACAGGCACGAAAGCGAGCACGAATGCGAATTCGTCACATGACGTCAAGTCAACCGTTCGCGTTGCGAAATCGCTCAAGTTTGACACCTTTCAACGCCGTTGAATTTCGTAGCGAAAACTTGTGACGCCAAAGTCGTTTTTCATTCGCGACAAAAAGAACCCAGATAGAGCAAGGATGAACTGGCCTTTGCGTGGTTGACCGTTGTTATATTATTCTACTTTTGGTGTGATATCATCGTATATAAATGGTGGACGGACTAGTATCAACGATATACGGTTGGGCAGGTTCACGCATGTCGAGCTATGTCCAAGCCATGTAAGCCAAAGTGCCAGGCAAAAAAAAAAAAAAAAAAACGAATCCCAATAACACGCGCACGGTCTATCCATAATTCGAAGTGTCAACACTCAACAAGTACCAAGCCCGTGGGTGAGAAATTATTATGCAGGCGGGCTGGCACCTAGTAAATTAGTACATCACTTCCACTGGATGCGAGCAGATTTTCGAAGAATATTAGCGTCAATCATCCGTCATTTCGACATTAATCCTCGCCATATTTTGTGGGCTCTTTAAATATCAAACTGGAATGCAATAATAATTGTATTTTGTGTATATAAACGACCTTTTCTGATTTAAAAAAAAACCAGTATTCAGGAAACAGTGCTGCGTGCCACAACTAGGCCTACATCAATCTACCGTGACCGGACTCGCCGACCTGGCTTCTGGCCCGAGTCCAATGTATAAAATTATGTCAGCCAGTGCGTCTGCCGTATAACATGTTCCAATGTAGGCATAAGGTCAATAGGCGTTTCCCAACATCCTACGAGCCCAGCCACACATAGGGTCCAGGCGGGTGGCTTGATGTATGCAGACAACAAGGACGGAATCAGTGCGAAATGTGATCATAATTCTGAGAAATATAACTGGCTTATTTCATGCAAGGACGGCGTGGGTGGGCTAATAAATTCTTGGCTCATTCCTGGATTTCCATGGATCAAGCATGTTTGTCTCAGGGAAGAACTGTCTCGTCTCGACTGTGAAGATTATGATTTTCCATACGCGAGACACAAACTGCGTGGTATGAACATGCAAGATATAAGGCTATGTATTTCTTCAAATGGCGAGTGATTATAGATATTACTCGTATATGTGTACCGACAAGAGGGAATGAACTGAATTAATGTGCTCCTTGAAAGTGCTGTCCAAGATATGCAAACAAATATTTGGCTTACGTAGGCCTGTTTTTTTTTCAACCGTTGCAAATCCTCCTTAAGGGTTGTATATGTACATTTCATTTAAGCAAGTCTCATTTTACATATTGAAAATTCTGTCTCTTTTCGGAGACTTATCCATAATGAGGTCTAAACTTATACTATTACCAAATTATTATTATTGAAAAAGCCTGGTGCAAATTAATTTCGCTTCGACCATTATTGCAATAACCTTATCTTTCCGGAAACTGACCTCTGGAAAATGATCTCCGTAAATGATAAAAATGACAAATCGTCTCCACTGGTTTAATGATTTAATTGTATTTCCCTCTCCAGATTGACAGAAGTAAATACCCGTGGCGTCATCCGCAAGGAATCACCAAGAACAGGATGGATTTTGGCTGATGACAACACCAGAGGCTTGGGAGTGAGTCACGCCCCAGGCTCTGTCCTCGAAAACACGGCACACCCAAGCGATGCGGACAGGTCCAGTGTGACGTGACGTCGTCCTTGAACTGGGAGAACACCCACTC